TTGGCCATTTTGGAGGTCATCCGAGATCGCTCCGAAAAGATGCCTTACAAGAGCGCTTGGCGCATCCCATTTTTTCGAGGATGCCTTATAGGCGAAACGCTCATTTTTGGAGGTCCGAGAATTAGACCGACGATTTCAACATTTCCATGTTCCGAGGATGTCTCAGGCGAAACGCCCATGTTTAGCAACATACGTCTTAAGATACTACCCCCACCTTCATGATTTGGCGAGGATGTCTCAGGCGAAACGATAGTTTTTTCAAGTATTTCCTGACATGAACGGGAAGCGCGTGAAAGGGAAGAGTTGCGAAAGAACTTGCAGCATCATCGTGACCAACCGGGAAGACGACGGCTGGGGAAGAGTCGCGCAGAACGGCGAAGACGACGGTTGGGGAAGAAGGGAGATTGAAAGGAGAAGGAGGAGGAGGAGGAGAAGGAGGAGAAGGAGGAGGAGGAGGAGGAGGATGGGGAGGAGGAGGAGGGGGAGGAGGAGGAGGAGGAGGAGGAGGAGGAGGAGGAGGAGGAGGAGGAGGAGGAGGAGGAGGAGGAGGGGAGGGGAGGAGGAGGAGGAGGAGGAGGACGAGGAGGAGGAGGAGGAGGAGGAGGAGGAGAAAGCTGAGCAGCAGCAGCAGCAGCAGCATCATCTAAAGACGTTCCCAGGAATTTCTCCTTAATCCCCTCTTCATCCCCCGCTCCCTCTCCCTTTTCCTTATCTTCCTCCTCCCGAGGGCCTGGGGGTTCGAAAAAGGCCCCAGGAGGCCGAAACCCGCCGTGATGTGATCGGGGGGGCCAAGCCACCCACCCCCGATCACGCCCGCGATCGCGGGTAATAAAAAAAACAGGCTCCAGGGGCGAGGCGGGAGGGGAAGGGGAAGGACACGAAGGAAAGGCAGGCGATGGGAGGGACGGGAAGGATAAGAACGGAGGAACGATGACAAGGATGAGGAGGCCCCGCGGGCCGCTGGAGTCGCCGCTCGGCCGAGCCGAGCCCCGCGGCGGTGTCTGGGCGTCTCGCGGGCAACAGGTCCCGGACGATGTGAGAGATGTTCCAGGTTGGGCGTTGCGTAATGGGGGGTCATAAATGGGGGGGCGGCGAGTGTGGCCCGAAAAGGTACCCAAACGGTACCTAAACGAGCCCCCTGGGGCTCTGGAGGGGCCCGAAAGGGGCACGAAAGGGGACCGTTTTTGACCCCCCCCATTTGTGACCCCCCCATTACGCAACGCCCAACCAGTTCCTGTGCCTCCGCGGGGATGGAGGAGGAGGAGGAGGAGGAGGAGGAGGAGGAGGAGGAGGAGAAGGATGCTATGAGGAGGAGGAGGAGGAGGAGGAGGAGGAGGAGGAGGAGGAGGAGGACAGGATCTTTGTGACGTCGAGGACGACCAGCGCGGGCGAGAGGAGAGCCCAGGGGCGCCAGAGTGCGAGGATCCCCAGGCAGTGTCGCAGAGCGCTCGGAGGTCGCCCCGCGCAGTCGCCTCTTCGGGGGCGGCGGGCACCAGCCACCTCTCCCCTCCTTCCCTCCCTCGCCCTCGTTATCCCCCAGCCGTTCTGGCTCAGATTGTTTTCTGAGCCTTGGTCGTGCGAACTTCAGAACGGCGCTGCACGACCGAGCCTTCTGGCTTCGTCTTCCCAGCCTACCGTGAGCAGGTGGCGCCTGCATCCTTTCGCTTTTAGCCTACCGTGGGCAGGTGGCGCCTGCGTCCATCTTCAGCACCATCCCTCAGCCATGTCGAGAGGGGCCCCGTGGGGCCAACGCAAGGCGCCGACTCGCATCTATTACTGGAAGTGTTTGACGTGCGGGTGCGGCAAGAACCGAATGGACTGGTGGAGTTTCTCAGGGAGGGGGGTCGTTGCGGGTGACTTTCGTCCTCCCCGTGCTCTGGCTGACGCACAGCAGCCCCTTCCAGTCGGATCACTGGCAGGAGCCCGTGGATGGCCCCCTCTGCTGTCAAAGGACAAGCTCCTCCTCGACGGGCTGTTGGCCGACGAGCTGGAGACCCTGCACGGTTCTGCGGTCAAACAAGGGCAGCGTGAGCTGGCAACATCTTACGCAGCTGCAGAGGCTATAGTGGTGGGCAGCCAGCAGCCCAAGCCCGAGGCCAGTCTTCACACCAGGGCCTCACAGGCCCACTCAAAGATTCGGCAGCTTGAGAAGACGCCCACTCGCGAGTTGGACAGATTCGAGAAGTGGCAAGCAGACGTCATCGCCCTCCAGACCAACATCGCAGAGATCTCCAGCGAACTGGACGAGAAAGAGGCCCAATACAAGCAGGTGGTGGTTCAGATCCGCGATGAGGTTGCGGCGGAGGACCCAATCGAGCCCAAGGCCCCCGCGATCAGCCTCGAGGCCCTCGTGGAGGGCAAGGGCCTGGAGCTGGACTTCCACGATGACTTGTTCACGGGCTTGGACGACTGCGACCTCACAGCTGAGGACCAGAGCCAGTTGGAAGACACGAAGAAGTTGCTGCAGAGTAGCTTCTAGGAGATGGCCAAGAAATTGCTGGGAGAGGCCGCAAACAAGTTCCAACGAGCTCGAGATGAACACCGTCAACACCTCGCGAGGATGGCGAAGAAGCGCAGAACAGTCGACGGACAAACAGCAGCAGCAGCAGCAGCAGCAAGTGAACCTGATGCCCCACGTCCACAGGTGGCTGGCAGCGCAGCAGGAGGTGCTGACGGCGCTGCAGCCCCAGCAGCCGCAGGGTGTGCAGCTGAAGGAGGCGTGGCAGCTGGGGTGCCCCCGTCTGGGGCGAGCCCCGAGCTGCGCTCTCGCCTGCGCCGCGCTCTCCTCCCCGAGACAACTGAGGCCCCCCGCGCAGACACCTGGGCGGGGAGCCGCATGCATTGTGATAGCATTAGAAGAGTTACCTTGGACGGGCCCACTGCGGGCCGAGGTTCTGATATAATGGACCAGGCGGTTCCTCTCTCGTTGGCGTGGGCTCCACATTTTTGGTTTTCTCACGGCGCCCCCAGCTCCGCCCAAGGACAGTTCAGGTTTAATCTTTGAAGCCGTGAACGCCACGTCTTGGGGGTCTTGTCAGGAATGGCTGGCGGGGGCCCAGGCCCACGTCGTGGCCGCTCAGGAGCACCAGCTCCCTTGTCACGAATCGTGCAACCGTGCGCTGACTTGGTGTCAGCGTAATGGTTGGATGGGGACCTTCTCCCCTGGCCTCCCAGGCGTCGGCGTGGGCAGCTCGGGCGGAGTGGCGATCTTAGCTCGTAGCTACTTAGGCCTGCATTAGCTCACTAAGGATTGTCCGGAAGCTGGCGTCGTTCATCTCCCAGGGGGCTTGGATCTTCGCGTTCTCCCGGTCTCGGCGCACCTGTATTGCTCCGAGGGCCTTTCGGGTCGAAACCTGGATATCCTGAGCGGTATCGGCAGTCTCCAAGGGATCCATTCGTCGGAAATGCTCGTCGCTGGTGGTTTCAATATGAATCCTGAGATGATCCTGGACGGTGGTTTTGTTGAACGCATGTCAGGGCAGCTTATTTTCGCGCAGGGCGACGGCACCTGCTTGACCGCAGGAGGGATGAAGACCCTGGATTTCTTCGTTGCATCAAAGGGGCTCGCCAAGACGG